AGTGCAGTGGTATGATCTTATCTCACTGCAACCTCTGCCTCCCTGGTTTAAGCCATTCTCCTGCCTCAGCCTCCCGAGTAGCTGGGATTACAGGTGTGTACTACCATGCCTGGCTAATTTTTGTATTTTTAGTAGAGACGGGGTTTTACCATGTTGGCCAGGCTGGTCTCGAACTCCTGACCTCAAATACTCCACCCACCTTGGCCTCCCAAAATGCTGGGATTACAAGCGTGAGCCACTGCGCCTGGCTAATGCCTGGCTAATTTTTAAATTTTTTGCAGACACCAAGTCCCACTATGTTCCTGAGGCTGGTCTTGAACTCCTGGGCTCAAGTGATCCTCCCATCTCAGCCTCCCAAAGTGCTGAGATTACAGGCATAAGCCACCATGCCCAGTCCATTTTCTTTCTTTACGTGAAAATGTGCTGTTTTCACGTAAAGAAATAAAACAACCCCATAAGCATGTAGATTATTTGAACTACAAAATTAATAAACTTATGAGAAAGCTATCGTTTTAAATTCATATATTAGGCAAGAAAGACTAAAAAATAATGAGCTACGTTTTCATGGAGCTAAAAGTAAAAGCCAATTAAACCCAAGAAAAAGTAAAAGTAAGAAAATAAAAAAGCTAAGCACAGAAATCAATGAAATAGAAAATAAATGTATAATAGTAAAAATTGTTGAAACCAATGCTGGTTCTTTGGAAAGATTAATAAAGTTGATAAATCTCTAGAAAAACTAATCAGGAAAAAGGAAAGAAAATATAAATTACCAATATCGCTAATGAAAAAGGGACATTACTACAAATCCTATAAATATTAGGAGCTCACAAAGAATATTATGCATTTATGGCAATAAACTTGAAATTTTGGGTGAATTACATAGATTCCTAAAAAAAACAAAAAGAAGTATATCCAAACTGACACAAGAAAGAAAGGGCATTTATTTAAAAAAACAAAAGAAAAAAAAAAAAACCCACAGCTTAACATTGTACTTAGTGACGATTTAGACAGAAAGCTTTCCAGGGAAGCCTACTTTACCACTACTGTTCAGCATTGTACTGGAAGTTTCAGCAAGAGCAATTAGGCAAGAAAAAGAAGTAGAAGGCATCTAACTAGAAAGAAGTAAAACTGTCTTTGTTTGCAGATGATATGATCCTATATGGAGAAAATCCCATAGGATACACACACACAAAAACTACTAGAGCTAATAAATTCAGAAAACTTTCAGAGTCCAACATCAACATACAAAAATCAGTTGTGTTTTTGTACATCAACAATGAACAATCTGGAAAGGAAATAAAGGAAACAATTACATTTACAATAGCATCCAAAAGAATAAAATTCCTAGGAATAAAGTTAACCAGGAAAGTGAAAGACTTATACACTGAAAACTACAAAACATTGCTGAAAGAAATTTAAAACACAAATAAATATAAAGGCACCCCATGTTCATGGATTAGAAGACTTTATATAGTTACAATGGCAATATTCTCCAAGGCAATCTACAGATTCAGTGTAATTTTTATCCAAATTCCAATGGCCTTCTTTTGCAGAAATAGAAAAAGCAATCCTCGAATTCATTTCAAACTGGGGTCTCTAATAGCCAAAGCAATTTTGAAAAAGAGAAACAAAATAGAAGAATTCATACTTCCTGATCAAAACTTCAAAAAGCTACTGTAATTAAAAAATTGTGGTCCTGGTATAAAGATAGACATATAGGCCTGGTGCGGTGGCTCATGCCTGTAATCCCAGCTATTCTGGAGGCTGAAACAGGAGGATCACCTGAACCCAGGAGGTGGAGGTTGCAGTGAGCTGAGATTGTGCCACTGCACTCCAGCCTGGGAGACAGAGCAAGACTCCTTCTCAAAAAAAAAAAAAATCCAAACGCTTTTACAGAGAAACTATTTAGAATTAGCAAGTCACTAAATACAGGATCAATATACAAAAAATACTCTTATATAGGTAGCAAGAAATAATTAGAAAATAAAGATTTTTTCAATACCATTTACAGTAGCATTAAAAATCAAATGTCTACCAATGTGTAAAAGAGAAATTAAAGCTGTAAGTAAATAATGGTCATAGATTAGAAACTCAATCTAGCAAAGATGTCAGTTCTTCCTCAACTGATCTGTAAGTTTCATATATTCTCACTCAAAACCCCAAAAGGGTTTTTTTTGTTGTTTTGTTTTTTGGTGGAAATTGAAATCTATATGGAAATACAGAGAACCGTGAATAGCCAAGCCAGTTGTTAAAAAGAATAAAACTTGAGGATTTTTACTACCAGACCCCAACACCTGTTGTAAAGCAACATTGTTAAAAGAAAGTGCTGTTCACCAAGCACCTAGATCTCAAGTTCTAAATACTATTCTTCAATATCACTGTTACTTGGAAGAAGTAGCTAACCCCAGGGCTGGAGCACAGAATATATAAAATGAGTCTGAAACAAGCACCTTTTGGTGCCAATATATAAGGAAATGCATGGGAAAGGTTGAGGGCTTGTTGAAAGGACGCAAGAGTCAACCTGAAGGACTCAAGGCCAGTCATTTTGAGCAATAAAGAAATAGTTGTTATATCCGAGCAAGCTGAATGGAAAGCGCCACACTCTGAAATCTGATCGTGAGTCCTTTATTGCTGGCGACCAAGAGTCAGCTCATGCTCAACATCTCTCAGCCCCAAGGAAGGGGCTTGATTTCTTTTCATACCTTGATTTAGGTAGGGAAGGGGGAGCCTAGCTGAAGTGGAATTTTACAGAAGCAGAATGAGCAGGTTAGGGGAGGAGGCTGGTAACTAGGAGGCAGGAGGCTCCTGTGATTGTTGATTAACTGAGGAGGGTATACACTAGTGGTTCCCATGATTGCTGGTTACCAAGGAGGGGCATTCGGTACTTTCCATACAATTAATCAAGGGGTATTCACAATAGCAAGTGGGCTTGTCAAGCAGGATATGGTTACAACAGTTATGTTTCTATAGCTCTAAGTACAACATGACCCAGCACAGGAGCATGACCCAGATATGCACTCAAAGGAGAAATGGTGGGAGGGGTGAGGCAGAAGTTAAGATGGAGTCAGACTCTCAGCAAAATGGCGTCTGTCTGGCTAACACAGGGTAGGTTAGTACATAGTGATCATACTGAACTATAACCCATAGGTTAAAACAAACATCCATGAATCTAGACTCAGAAATAATAATTGCACAAGCAAATGAGGGAACACATCTCTTCCTTATAGAAGAATTCCAGTTAATAAATGTGCAAGGAATTAGAGAACCACAAAACTACCATTAGGCAAACACTACAGTAATTGTTGCAAGCAAGGTGGATGCTAAAATCGGTGGGCAAAAGCTTAAGGAAAAATAGAGATATGTGTATAATTACAGCATATCTCCCTCAAATGTTTGTCAGTTAGAAAGGAAGAATTAGTAACTTTACAGTAGAGAAACCAGTGAACACTGTCTTAACCAATCTTAAATTGAAACCTCCAATTTACACCAAAAAAAAGTGGTCATACTTAATATGTCATCTCAAAGACAAGGAAAAACTAAGGAGCTCTCAACAAATTAGAGGTGGCTAAGGAGACATAACTAGATGTAAGATGGGATCCTGGATGGAATCATAGGACAGGAAAAGGACATGAGAGAAAAAACTGGTAAAATTCAAATAAGGTCTATACTTTAGTTAATAATATATCAATGTTAAAGTATCATATCAATGTTAATTTCATGGTTTTGATAATTGTACTATGGTTGTATAAATGTGAAAGCTGGTAGCAAGGTATATGTGAATTCTACTTTTTGCAACTTTTCTGTCTAAAATTATTTCAAAAGTTTTTAAAGTAGCATAATATTGACACAAGGGATATTGGTTGCGTAGCGTTGCTATAACACAGTGCCACAAATTGGGCAACTTAAAATGAGAAATGTAATCTTTCACAATTGCGAAGGCTAGAAAAGTTCAAAATTAAAGTGCTAGCAGAACCATGCTTCCTCTGAAGGCTCTAGGGCAGAGGCCTCTTCCTAGCTTCCAGTGCATACCAGCAAGCCTTGGCATTCCTTGGCTTGTCAGTGCATACCAGCAAGCCTTGGCATTCCTTGGCTTGTAGCTGCATCACTTTAGTCTCTGTCTCTGTCTTCACCTGGCCTTTTTTCCCATCTGTCTCTGCATATCCTCTCCTCCTCTCCTAAGGATAGCAGTCAAATTGGATTTAGGGTTCACCTTAAGCCATTATGACCTCATCTTAACTAACTAATAATCTAAAAGACCCTATTTTCAAATAAGGTTATATTCTGTGGTTCCAGTTTGACATGAATTGGGAGCTGAAGGGGACCCATTCAACCCAGTCCATGGACAAAGATAGGCAAATAGACCAATAGAGCAGAGTAATATCAGCTCTAATAATGTCTGCCCACGTAATCAATACACCTGATTTACAACAGATGAGCCACTGCAATGCAGTGGGGAAAGGGGAAAATCTTGATGGTGAGTCGAATGAAAATATATATGAGGATAAAAAGCATCTGGACCCCTACCTCACAGCATATGTAAAGACCAATTTCGGATGGATCATAAACCTACATTTGATAGGTAAAATAAATTGTTTTCACAACATATTCAGGAGAATATCTTCATAGTCTTGGGATAGGCAAAGATTTCTTTAATGGGACACAAAAATAACCTAATTGGAAAAAGTTGATAAATTAGACTTCATTTAAATTTAAAAATTTTTTGAGCTTAACCTACAAAGATGCAAACACCTAGAACTCTTACGTACCCATAGGAGTAGAAATTAGTATGAGTACTTTTTTTTCCCCCCTTTTCTTTTGAGACAGGTTCTCACTCTGTCACACAGGCTGGAGTGCAGTTGCACAATCCTGGCTCACTGCAGCCTTGACCTCCCAGGCTCAAGTGATCCTCCCACCTCAGCCTCCTGAGTAGCTGGGACCACGGGCTACATGCCACCATACCCAGCTAATTGTAGTTTTTGTAGAAGTGAAGTTTCACCATATTGCCCAGGCTGATCTCAAACTCCTGGGCTCAAGCGATCCTCCTATCTGAGTCTCCCAAAGTGCAGGGGTAACAGGCATGAGCCACTGTGCCCAGCCAGTATGAGTACTTTGATTTTTTTTTTTTTTTTTTTTTTTTTT